TAGAAAATGGTTATAATATTAAACCAACTACTATTCAAGATCTTCAGATTGAGATTAATAACCTCAAAAAGGAAATTCGTGAAATTAAAGATCAACAACAAATTCATCAAATTATTCTTGCACAACTTAAAGATGATGATGATTCTAAAGTTGTTGAAGAATTTTTTTTTGAAAAGAATGATTTTGAGAAAAAAGATTTTGGTGAGCCAGAAGAAATTTTTATGAATTTGATCAACAAGGTCAAAATTCAAAAATTGTAGATTAACATCAGAATCATTATTGATTATTTTATTCTTGATACTTTAACACTTTTTAATACTGGTACTAATTCAAACTGTATTTTAGAAGGATTAATTCCTGCTAAATATTTTGAGAAAACTTCTGAAAAACTCAGTACTACAAGCAGTTCCAAGCTTAAGATTAATTATAAATTATCTAAAGTTATTATTGAAAACTAAGGGTTCAAAGTCGAAACAAACTTTCTTCTTGTTAAAAATTTGAAGAACAAAGTTATTCTGGAAACTCCTTTCATTAAAGTTCTTTTCCCACTTCAAATTTCAAAAGAAGGAATTTCTACTTATCATTTAGGTAAGCAGATAACCTTTAAATTTTCCAGTAAACCTTTTACTAAAAATATTAATATTATCCAGAATAAAATTAACCAAATTAATTTTCTGAAAGAAGAAGTTTCTTTTGCTAATATTGATAAGCAATTGAAGAATTCATCACTTTAGAAGAAGATTCAATCTCTTTTAAAACATATCCAATCTTCCATTTGCTCTGACCTCCCAAATGCGTTTTGGAATAGGAAGAAACACATTGTGAGTCTTCCATATGAGTCAAACTTTAAAGAAAGTCAAATTCCTACTAAAGCAAGACTCATTCAGATGAATGAAGAACTCCTTCAATATTGTCAAAAAGAAATTAAAGAGCGAGACTCATTCAGATGAATGAGGAACTCCTTCAATATTGTCAAAAAGAAATTAAAGATCTCCTAGACTAAAACCTTATTAGAAAAAGTAAGAGTCTATGGTCTTACTCTGCCTTTTATGTTAACAAACAGACAAAACTAGAAAGAGGTACCCTAGATTAGTCATAAACTACGAACCTCTTAACCAAGCTCTTCAGTGGATTAAGTGTCTTATTCTCAACAAAAAAGATATGCTCAACAGACTCAACTCTGCTAAGATCTTTTCAAAATTTGATATGAAATCTGAATTTTGGCAAATCCAAATTTGTAAAGAAAACAAATACAAAATTGCCTTCACTGTTCCCTTTGGGCAATATTAATGGAATGTAATGCCCTTTGGTCTAAAAAATGCTCCTTCTGAATTTCAGAAAATCATAAATGAAATTTTCAATCCTTATTCCAAATTTATCATTGTCTACATTGATGATGTCTTAATATTTTCCCATTCTATTGACCAACATCTTATGTTCTTTGTTTCTTTTGAATACAGCATCGTCGAATCAGTCTTACCGCCTTTCATAACAACATGGGTCTTACTACTGCAGCCCTATTCAAAAGAACTAAGAACTCTTGTGCTTTCAACAAAAACACATCCTGAAAATTAAAGAGCTATATATATATATATATATATACACTATAACATTTCATCAAGTACATCAAAGTTAATAGTCTAAAATTAAAAAATTCTCAAAAAAGTTGTAATTGTAAGGAATAAATTAAAACTACTTTTGAATTTATCAATGACCAATTACAAGACTCATAATAATTATATTAAAAAAGTGATTAATAATCTCCAATAATAACCATCAAACTATATAAATGCAGGTGCATAAAAAAAAAATTCAATGAATGATAATTGAACACTTTAAGCAAAATATACATAACAACAATATGGTACTTGTAAATCATGGTAGTCAATTTTTTCTAAGAAACATTTTTACAAACATCTAATGGGCATGAATGCAAGTGTCTTTTTTTTTTTTTTTTTTAAATTATGAGAATTTAAGCAACAAATTATAACACAATTTTGTAAAACTTTGTGAATAAAACATCTCATAATATTACAAATATGAATAGGAAATTTATCTAGTTTTTTGTTGTATTTGCTTCATCTTTAATTTTAGAGGTTGCGCCATTTTTGCAAATCGCATGATTAAGATGGATTTAAGTATGACGCTTTTGTTTCTTCTTTTAATGTTTGGGAGTCAATCAAATAGAAAAAAAAAAAAGAAATCACTCTATCTCTCCTTGTGTTACTACTACATTGTTAAATACAGTGAAGCATTTCTTATTTGAGGCATTGTGCTAAACTTCGTGAGGGAATAATGATGAGGCTCACCACTCACTTTCAAATGTGCTACTAAGTGTGCTAGCTTTGTTAATTGGCTGAGATTGAACTGAGAACTGATGCTAAAATCAAAATTGGGATTGTGTTGGGGATTGACAAAAGGGTGCCTTGAGGTGGTTTAAAAAATCAACTTCACCTCTACCATTGTCAATATTTTTAAATGGAGCACCTTGTATGTTAGTGAGCTCATCATTTGAAAAATCCTCTAATTTGAGAGATAACTATGTAGGTGTGATGTTTTGCTTTGTCATTCCTTCTTCATAAACTCTATACTTCCCAGTGGAGTTGCCAATTGTTTCAGGATGAAATTTGATGTATTAGATCCGTAACCTTAAGAAGTACTAGAGAAAAAAAGAGCACAATGAACAAAATAAAAGAAATGTTATTAAGTGAGAAATGCTATGTTGTTTCATCCTTTTCAATACACAGTGATCGTATTTATAACTATTTAAATGAATACAAATAAATCATATGTTTTTAAAGAAACCTCCATGATTTTATCTTTTCTCTTTGTTGTTTTAGATTTTTTAATGTGGTTGTAGGATAGATGTCGTGGTTCCAATTTCTAAGTAATTCCCATTTATTTTGTAACAGATAACTAGACTAGGATACTTGACACTTTGTTTCGTTGATAATACACATCCTCTTGTAACATCTCAATATTGTTGTTTTGTTCAACATTTTGCCTTTTGGCAAGCGAACTCGTGTCGCTTTTGTCTTTTTTTCACTAACTTGGATATTTGTTGATTTTTGCAGCTCTAGGTCTTTTCCCATTCATCTTATGCGTCACTTTGTCAAACTTTCCATGTGGGCCTCTTTGTTGGATCACTACACTGTTATTGAGTTAAACTTTATCCTAAATATTTAAAGACTTATTTTACTATATTTCTCATTCAATTCTTTATGTTATTCTTCTGTTTAACTCTACATTCAATTTTCTTATGATTACCAATCATTCATACAAATACTATTAATACCCAATGGTCATGCAATATTAATATTCTTTTCTCTAAATCAACATCCCTAATGGTCATGCAAGACATTAATTTAAGAAAGCTTTAGGAGCCTACGAACTTGTTAATTTAATAACGATTAGAAGAGAAAAATTGGTTTGGTCCACCTAATCCTTTGTCTCGTTTTACTCTATAGATCTATTAATTAACCGAGGTACGATCGCATGACGATATAATTAATTAGGATTAAGAAAGAAACGCAATAGGATAAAATCTAATCACAAAACGGAAATCAAATTTAGATTTAAACATCCAAATTTCATAAATTCATGAACAATAGTTCTCATAGCCCTAACTATGGACTTAGTTACTCATGCTAAAGAAAAGAACTAAAACAATCATAATCAAAGCCATAATAAAAAGAAATAGCAAACTAGAGTATGAGATGTATTCCTGGTATTCAAGTACGATCGCTTGAAGCTCTAAGTCTCGCCAAGCATGTGTCAAGGATCCCGTGCACGAGAGACGAGATCAGATGTATTCTAGAGCCAAAGCCAAGATGTAAAAATGGTGTTCTTATGATGCCTGAGATCTCCTTTTAATGAGGTTTGAAAATCTTAAAGACTCTTGATAATTGGGCTTCTTGCAGATGAGCATGGTCGTGCAAGGCTTTAAGCACGACTGTGCATTGGCTCAAAGCACCCTTGTGCTTGTTGAAAGGGTCTGGACATACTGACTGCTGCGAAACTCTAATCTTTCATTAATTTGGGCCCAAAATGCATCCAACATCCACTTGCGGCCTCTTTATACCAAATTGCACAATTAATATATAAATTAATATAAAATCCAAATAAAATAAAGGTTAAATATGAATATGTGGGTTGTAAAATAAGGTCTAATTACAAACTTATCAAGCCATGAGTCTTTTGTAGAGACCTAAAGACCCTTTCTTGGACCGATCATCAGTATAAGATTTTGATTTTTTATTTATTTGTTACATTATCCTTTTTATTATGTTTCATTAAAAATATCTTAATATATAATAAATAGTTTAAAATATCTAGATGTTTGGATTTATTTATCATTTGCCGAGGAGTGATAAAATAATAATTTTAAAAGAATTTAGTATTTAAGTTTAATTTGGATAAAATTTTCATAAATATTAATAGAATAAAATAAATAAATTTATTCTCATAAATTAAAATTAACTTATTTTTTATATTTAAAAAATTATTAAATTTTTCTAATTTTTTAAAAAATAATTTTTTTTAATTTATTCATTTTTTTTTAATTTTGTTATAAAGACTTATTATGAATTTATTTAAACTGAATTTTAATATCTTCATGTATTACCCAGGTTATTATGTTTATTTATTTAAATATAATATAAATACTTAATTTCGTTTAGAAGCTTACAAATTTTTACTCGTATATTGATACATTGATGTAATTTTACAAATTTAAATAAATTAAATTTTTAAAAGATTTAAATGTATTAAATAGTAAGATGTTGTTTAAATGTATATATTGTAAATAGATATTTTTATAAATTCACACATATATTAATCATGCTCCATGCAATGTAATTAATTAAAGATAATGCAAATAAAAAATAATAGATAAAATAAAATATAAATTAATGCAAGTTAAAAAAAAAAAGCATAGGAGTGGGAAAAAAGCATAGCTATATTTTTAGTGATATGAATAATATTTTTACACTAGTTAAACTAAAACGGAAGGCGAAACCTAACACACAAAAAATGGCGGAGAGGTTGGGAGCAGCAGAAGAGACTGTTCCCCACACAACAACGAAGCTCGTCGTTTTGGCTGATCTCAACGTCGACCCTCCCGAAGCCGAAGCAGACGAAGACGATTCTTCACTGGTCCCTCCTCCACCAATCACCAGGTTCTCTTTCTTCCACATTCTCACATCATTTCTATTTTTTCACGTTTTGCTTCTTCTGATTTCCGATTATTCACTTCTATATAACCAATTGAACTCTAGAACTTCAAAACTCATCAAACCCTGTTAGGTTTGGTTTATTGTTCTCAGCTAGTGCATTTTAAACCAGAGACGCAGTTAAGAACATTCAATTGTTAACCGTTTAATCTCTTTCTCGTTAGACAGTGAATAAGTTGGAATTGTATTTCTTGTGTTTCGAAAATGTAGACAGTTATCTGTTTTTGGCTGCATTAAAGTGTGTTACGATGTCTGTTTGTTCCGTGTGGGTTCTTTTGTCGGTGTATCTCGAAAGACTAGGAGGATGGAGAAGTATAGAGTGCGCAGTGTGAAGTACAAGCGACAAAATTGCTAGAAAATTGGAAGGATTAATACGGTGATATTTTAGATTTTTGAGAGACTAATTTGATGATAATTTTTTGTTTTTGAATAATTATAGTGGTGATACGTGTAACTTTGGAGAACCAACCCGAGGTTGAGGGTTTACTCAACATTTTCTTATCTAATAATAAAAATTGAAAAAAGGAGTACATTTTTGCCAATGTGTTATAATATGACATTTTATTAATTTTGAAAATTTTTCTGGGGTATTGTAGTCTGACAAGTTTTTTTCAGAAATTTTCCATTTTGTTTTATAGAAGAAAATTGAATTTTTTTTATTATAATTCATTCAATTGTTATTGCAAAATGAATTATTTATACCAATACTTAGTATTTTTTCGTTGCTTCTTGTCATTTATTGAAATTTTCAATTAATATAGGTTGACGAATGATGAAAACGGTCAAGATAAGAGTTTGTTGTCCAAAGACGCTGACAGCATTGAAGGTGAAAGTAAAAAGTTGAACAAACTCGGCAAATGCCGCTCCAGACCTAGCAAGACGGATTCTTCTCTTGATTGTGCAGCTGATGCAGATGGTGATCAACATGTTCAAGGGACTCCTTCATCTCGGGAGGAAAAAGTTAGCAGTATGAAGACTGTGAGTTTATTTTAAAGTCATTAAATATTTTTCCATTTTATTCAAATTATCCCACTTCTCAACGATAATTAGCTTTTTGTTTTGTGCTTGGGAAAAAATAGATTTTTATTGTGATTTTCTGTGGGCCTGTATCTGAAGAAGTGAAGATGGTTTTTTATTTGGTCACTATGCATTGATACTTCAAAATTGACGATGTACTCGTATTGTATCCTTGCTAGATACCTAAAAACTTAAGCAAACAACAAAAATTTTAAGATGAGTTAACAACAATTTTTAAATTACAGTGTAACCATAGTATATCCAATTCCTGTACATGTATGGTTAAGGATTTCAGTTAATCAGTTAGCTAACTATCCTTCCTTCCAGAAAATATGCTTTTTGCTGGTAACTCAGAATATAAGACCTTAAAAATGTATTTCATGATTTTATTTTCTTCTTGTTGAAGTATTTAGGCAACCAATAATTGGCCATCAGAAATAATTTTCAACTGTTCTTTTCAGTGAACACTAGTAGGAGATGGATCATGTCTAAAGATGCAGATGGAGATTTTTTTTTCTTATCTCTTTAATGAGATTTTGAGATCTAAAAAAAATACTAGATGAATGGTGGAAAAATACTTTGATTCCTGAAAAAGATGATTGAGCATAAACTACGGGATGAAACTAAGATTGTAGAAAATCAATTTGATTTTATGCCAAGAAAGTCTACAACATAAGAACTTCTGGATATTGATAAGTTTATATCAAGACTCCTCTATGAGTCCTTACATGTTTAGATGTGTTTACAAGTGACATAGAAAACATTATCTTTAAGTGCATGCTCTTTGTGAATGACATAGTATTGGTTGGTGATTCAAAAGAAGAAGTTAATACTAAACTTAAGTTATGGAGGAAGACATTAGAATCTAAGAGTTTTTGTTTGAGCTGAAGCAAGACAAAATATATGCATTGTGATAGAGTACTGACCAGAAAGTGGGATTAAATGGTGTAAGGCCCAGGATTTAGAAAATGTATGCTCATAAGAAAAAGAAAACTAGTGAGGTGAGAGAGGGAGGAGAATGCTAAGTTGGCAAGTTGCTCACGGGAGTAAGGAATATAGGCAATTTGGGAGAATAGTGATGAGTTAGTTATGCATTTTCTTTTTATGTTTGGAAAGAGAAATTCTATTTTCTCTTGGGAGCTTTTGCTCTAGTTGCTGTAAGAGCTCAGGCTCATTTCTTTGACTCCAAATTGGTGAAGCAATCAACACCTTTAATTTCCCTTCTGCATGAATGCGGGACAAGGCATCAACCGCCTTATTCTTTGGTCTCCGCTTATAAACTACTTCAAAATGGTAACCTTCAAAACCTAGTATTGTTGATCACAACTTGTCACTCTCTGTTGTACTAACTTTTTTAGGCTCTTTTGATCAGTAAAAACGGTGAAGCTTCTACCAATGAGGTAATGTCTCCAATGTGTACTGCTAACACTAAGACCATTAGTTCCTTCTCATGTATTGATTTTGATAAACTGTTGTCACCAAGAGCCTTACTAAAGTTAGCAATTGGTCTTCTCCCTTGCATTAACACAGCTCCAATTCCTCTCCCAAAAGCATCACATTCAATTTGAAAAGGTTGAGTGAAGTTTGGCAGCGCCAACACAGAAGAAGAGGTAAGAGCCTCTTTTAGTTCTTCAAAAGCTTCAAGTGCCTCCGAACTCCAATGAAATCCCTCCTTCTTAGTTAGTTCTGTTAATGGCTTAGCTAATTTTCCATATCCCTGAATAAATTTCCTATGATATCCGGTCAACCCCAAAACACCTGCTCACACCTTTGACATTATGTGGAATTGGCCATTCCTGCACACTTCTCACCTTTGTAGGATCCAGTGTAACTCCTAATCTTGAGATCACATGACCCAAATACTCTACTTGCTGCCTCCCAAAAGTGCATTTCTTTTGGTTGGCTACCCAGTGATTACTCTCCAACACCTGCAACACCTGTTGATGATGTGATAAATGTGTCTGCAGGTCTTTACTGTACACAAGGATGTCATAAAAAAATACCAGCACAAATCTCCTTAAAAATAACTTAAAAATCTGGTTCATTATAGATTGGAATGTAGCTGGAGCATTCATCAACTGAAAGGCATAACTAAGTATTCATAATGTCTTTCATGAGTCCTATTTGCTGTTTTATGAATGCCTTCCAATTTCACTCTAATTTGATGATATCTAGACTTCAAATCCAATTTTGAAAAGTAGCAAGCCCCATTAACTTATCTAATAGCTCATCCGCTACAGGAATAGGATACTTATCAGTTATCTGGAATAGTCACCTTATTCACGGCTCGATAATCAACACACATGCACCATGAGGAATCCTTCTTTTTTTACCAAAATTATTGGACTAGAAAAAAAACTTGAGCTATGTCGAATCACCCCTAGCTGTAATAACTATGCAACCTGTTTTTCTATCTCATTCTGATGCAAATGAGAATGACGATAAGGCCTTACACTCACAGGTCCAGCTCCAGATTGCAACTCAATCACATGCTCGACTTCCCTCCTTGGTGGTAACCCCATCACCTCTTTGAATACCTCAGGAAATTCATTAAGAACATTAGCAAGTTCTTGCTGTTGGATATAATTTAGAGCATTTTCATCATCTGTCAAAATTTCAGTTTCAGCTTGGTACCAGTCCTACACTCCTTTTCAGTTTTCACTGACTTCTTTCAATAAAGTATAAAATGATGCTAGGTCATAACTGTAATTACTTCCTCTACGTGGTTTATCACCACTATTAACCAGTCCCTGAAATTGGATTGGTGTACCCATAGTAGTCAATAGCGGTTGCTATCGTGAAGGTGTGCAGCAAAGCGGTAGGATGTTGCTATCCCATTGGCATAGTGTTTCATTGTAGTGGTCGTTGCACCGTGAGTCACGGACAAAATTAGAGAAAACCATGGCCATCATGGCTGCTATTTCATCCTAGGTTAAATCCCTAATTTATCCTCCATTTTTGAATGTTGGGCAACTTTTAATGAGGGCAATCTTGAGATTTTGCCTCCCTTTTACATTTAGATATCTTCTCCCTCGTCAAACTATCCCTAAGCTCTCTCAATTCTCCTCTTGTTCATTTTCGTTCTCTGTGACATCCTCTTGTTTCCAATGTCCTTCATCTTTGGCGAAACTTCTGACGCGACAGAGTCATTATCCAATCATCTTCATCTTTGGCAAAGCTTTTGACGTGACCCAAACGTTTTCTGATCATCTTCAACTCTAGTGAAGCTTCCGACGTAAATTAGACATTTTCTGGTCATCTTCATCTCCAACGAACCTAAATGTTTTTCAGTGACTAACCATTCTCTGTTTTATATTTTCCTTTGCTTTTTTTATTTTACTTCTCTATTTTCTATTGTGTGTGTAGTTTTATTTATATTAAGTATATTTAAAACTTTAGAATAGTTGTCATCGTGCTATAGTGTTTTTTGGGGTTGGCCGCTCCATGCCACTATCTGGGATTGACTACTATGGGTGTACCATGATGCATGAACGACAAAATCATCTCACCCCAATCCATTTCCACTTTTCCCAAATCCTTCAATGAAGATACCCCCGATATCAAATCCAACCCTCCCTAATCCAACACACATGCATCAATAATGATCTCAATACCACCAATTTGAACTCTAACATCAAAGCACTTAGCCGGTACAACCTTATGCCCATCATCACCACGGTGAATACTTAGATCTCAAGTAGGAGTTCTAGAGCAGCAATCACTTGTGGTGAGATAAAATTATGTGAAGCACTGCTGTCTGGTAAAATTATGTGAAGCACTGCTGTCTACCATAATTAAAACAGTAATTCCCTTAAGCCTACCTTCCATTTTTATAGTCCTCACTCCTTGTAATAAATCACGTGATCCCGCAAAGACCCATAGCCTTGCATTCAAGTGCTTCATCATCTTCAACCTCATCTACTTCAATTGCTATCATCTCACCTTCTTCATTAATTATCTCATCATATCCAAGGACCAGCAATCTAAATTGCTTCTCAGGGCATCGATGCAGGGGATGATACTTCTCTCAACTCCTAAAACACAATCCCTTGGCCTTCCTATCCATCAGCTCTGGTAAGAGAGGTGTTTAAAACCTGTGCTATGTTCACCACATCCCTTCCGAACATCTTTTCCATCTCCTGTAGAAAAATGTGGGTGTTGAACGGTCTCTATTTTGAGACCCAGGTGTATGTCCAGCACCCACATGAACTCAATTTGACTCAGGCTAACCTGTACCCACAGTATGGGAGCAGTCTATAAGGCCTGAGATATTGTTCCTCTGGTAAACACCCTGATGAAATAAACTCAAATTCAGCAATTTCTCCTCAACACTCCCTGTTTGCTGTAAATCTGAGAGCTTTTCGAATGGATTATCGTATTGTCAACCTCCATATCATTCTATCAAGGCTTGTTTTAATTTAGGCCAGGTTAGATGATCTTCTGTCTCCTTCAGCAAATTAAACCAATGAATGGTAGGTCCTTCCATACTCAGCTTAGCAAGATTCACCTTCACCTCTCCTCATCCAAAATATTCTGAACCTCTAAATATGTCTCAGCATGTGTTATGTTACCCATCCCATTGGGTCTTCACCATCAAACAGGGGAAGTTTGACTTTCCTTGCTGATGTTCCCCCTTCTCTGCTCTGTGAGCCACCTCTCACTCCGCCTGAACCAGATTTTCAATCATCGAGGGAATGACGCTCAAGCAACTTGCTCATCTCTAACAACAAAATTGTTAGAATTCGGCCATAGATAGCTTCATGGAATCCTCTAGAGCAACAACCATGGCTTGTAAGATATTGACCTTATTTGTCTTCAGCATCATTTCTATCTTCAGCTGGACCAATTGAAAAGCAGTGAACCTGAGCTCTTTTAGCAACCAGAGTAGAAGCTCCTAAGAGAAAATATAATTTCTCTTTCCAAACATAAAAAGCAAATGCATAACTAACTAACTAACTACTAAGTTTAGCAAAAAATAAGATGAAGATCATGCGTTAGAAGATAAAATTAGAGATGATTTGATACCACAAGTTTCTAGGTTTAAGAACTTAGGATCCAGTATATAGAATGTCGGGAAACTAATGAAGATGTTATTCATAGAATACAAGCTGGGTGATTAAAGTGGAGAAAAACATTAAGAGTTATTTGTGAGTGTAGTCAAATAACAACCATGGCAACACTGCCACAACTATGGCAGATTTACAGTGGTAGTGCCATGGCAGCCATTATGCGCCTGGGGGCTATGATGGAAAATGTTAGTTTTTGAGAAAAAATGAAATGGGCCTCAAACCTGACCTGGTCCAAAGTGACCCAAGAACGCCAAAGCATACTTATCAATAACCGCTATTGCACTAGTGCAGAGCAGTGGTTGGCTGCGAAATACTTGCTATTGTGGAGGTTGTGCCTTAATTGCAGTTGAACTTTCAGTGTGGGTGCTTGTTTTTTAAGCTTGATGGAGAAAGGGAGTGAAAGTATGATTCTGCCCCTGCTATAGTGTTTGACCTTTTTTAAGGGCAAAATGAACTTCCTGTCCCACTTAATATTTTTTTCCTTCTCTTCTCGAGCAAGCGTCCTTTTACACAGTACTATGCCTATTCTCTCTCTCGTGCTCTGTTTTTCTTCCTTCTCTCTAAAGCCAACTTCTCCTTCACCATTTTCACCATTGAAGACATCCTTTATAGCTGTTTCTGGGGACTGAGTTGAGGGGCCTGTTTTTCGGCATCTATTTTCTGTTTTGCTTCTTTGTGCTCTATTTTTTTTTACTTCAAACAATGCTCTTTGGTGATCTGTTTTACTTCTTCAAACAGTGTTGTTTCTCACTCAGTTTGCATCTTCTCCAAAGGCTGTGATCACTTTTCCATCATTTTCCAGGCATGGTATTATTGTTTTTTACACACAACTAAAAAAATTAGGACTTGTAGTGTTTTTCTATACATTGTAGTGTTTTCTCTCTCTCTCTCTCTCTATATATATATATATATATATATAGATACATAGATATATTATTTTTAGTATGACTGCCATGTTTCTGCCATAAGCCGCCATGGCATCTGCCATAATTTTATGACAGTTTATTAACTGTCCATCATGACCTGCTATCCACCATTGATAACATTGGTGACAGCAAAATACTTATCAAGCTAATGGGGAAGTTTTGTCATTCCGCAATACAATTAATTATCCTATATGGTAATGAATGTTGGGTCTTAAAAGAATAATACTAGGAAAAAATGAAGTGGCAAAAATGAGAATGTTAAGGTGGATGAATGGTTGCACAAGAAAAGACATGATAAGAAATGATAGTATACATGCAATATTGAAGTAACATTTATAGTGAAAAAGATAACTGAAAACCGTGGTTTGATAACGTACATATAAGACCTATGGAGGCACCATTGAAGTAAGTGGATGTGATGATATTAGTATGTTAAAAAGTAGAGGGAGACCTAAAAGAATCTTAAAGGAGGCTACTAAAAGATATTTTAATTAATAATTTTTTTGAAAATTTGGTTTTTGATCGAGCTCAATTACGTCCTGAGATTAATGTAGCCGACCTTACCTAGTGGAATAAGACTTGGTTATTGTTGTATACTTTTCTTCTTGATTCATTGAAATATTTCTAGCCAACTTATGTGAGATGTGATGGATATGGGATATCTGTTGAGGATGGAAACATTTTGCTTGCTCCTTTGTCCTTCCTTTCTATTTGCAGAGCAGCAGCATGATTTGCATATCTACTCACTTCAGATGGTTTATGCTTAATTAATGTCTTCTAATTTGTTATTTATTGTTTCGCTTGTTTGTAGCTTATAATGTGGTTTCTTTGATATTTATATGACCATGAATCATGTTCAATGCAAGTATCTACTCACTTCAGATGGTTTATGCTTAATTAATGTCTTCTAATTGGTTATTTATTGTTTCGCTTGTTTGTAGCTTATAATGTGGTTTCTTTGATATTTATATGACCATGAATCATGTTCAATGCAAGCTGTTCACTACTTTCCATGATTGATTTTAGATTGCTTTCTTCTAATCGCCATCTTTCCATCATTGAATCAGCTTTTGTTTTGTTACTGACAAAATTAGTTCTTCTTATAGGGCTTGATGCATGTTGCAAGGAAGATGCCCAAAAATGCTCATGCTCATTTTATACTTGGCTTGATGTACCAAAGATTAAGCCAACCTCAAAAGGTACTAAGTAATGCTTTATAATTTTCCTGTTATGTTTCATACATTGTAGATCTATCATTGTTCATTAAATATTTTTCAGGCTGTATTGGCTTATGAGAAGGCAGAAGAGATCTTACTCAGGTCTGAGGCTGAGATTGATAGGCCAGTGTTACTTTCTTTAGTTCAGATTCACCATGCACAGGTGCAATAATATTAATTTGATATATTAATAATTCTAATCTTTCTGTTCATTGACATGTTGTATAATCGTTCTAGTGCCTGATACTAGAAAGTTCATCAGAAAATAGTTCTGATAAAGAACTTGAGTCTCATGAACTTGAAGAGATTCTTTCTAAACTGAAAGAGTCAGTGCAGTCAGATATCAGACAGGCAGCTGTATGGAACACACTCGGTTTTATTCTTCTTAAAACTGGTCGTGTGCAGGTACCAGTACTTGTTTGCTCTCCTTCCTTATACTTTAATGTTCTTTAGGCATATATGATGTTTTTGGTGTTAGTATTTGATATGACCAACTGATGTGAACTTCAAACACTGTTGTAGAGTGCTATCTCAGTTTTGTCATCATTGTTGGCCATTGCACCAGAGAACTATGATTGCCTAGGAAATCTTGGGATAGCTTATCTTCAAATGTAAGTCTGGACAGTAATTGTCTCTTTATAGTTGTGGTCTGATTATTTTTTATTTAACTTTTTCTCAATAGTGTAGTGCCTTTACAAATGCTAGATTCATCCTCATGCGACATGTGGTTGCAGTTTCTTTTTTGGTGTCCTATTTTTTTGTAGCATTGTGATGAAATGTGAATAAAGCAATTTACAGGGAGTTGAGAAAATTTTCTGATATAACATGTGCTATCTCTTCTTTCATATTGTTCCTGAAATAATTGAAGAAACCCTGAAGGGAAGCAAAAAATAGAAGAAAAGTTTATTTGAATGGATCATGGGCGTACTACATACCGTTAGAGACATTGTTACAATGATAGATGAAGAAAGTCGAAATAAATAATATGAAATATGTTGTAACTTATAAATCTTTTGTTGTGTTTAGCATTATTGAAAGAGCATAAACCATAGTATTGGTCACCTAACTTACCACACAAGGAAGTTGATGATGGCAAATAGAGAAGTTTCAATGTGTACTACAAGATGGGAGTGGAAGCTCAACTTCCTTGGAAGAATGACGAGAAAAAATGTTATTTTTCCTTTAGGGATTAAAAGCTTTATTAAAATTATTTGAGAAATAGTGGTCAAATAATAAAATTTTTATTTAGTGGTCAAGTTTTCCTCAATGGTAAATACTATATTGCCTTGCAGTGGAAATATGGAATTATCTGCAAAATGTTTTCAAGACTTGATTCTAAAAGATCAAAACCATCCTGCAGCTCTGGTCAATTATGCTGCCCTTCTTTTGTGTAAACATGCCTCGGTTGTAGCAGGTACTTTTATTGTTTTATGGCTCTGTGCACTCAATTTTTGTGGGATATTACTTCCGTTTGTCGTTTATTCTCAAGTGGATGAAGAATTTTACATAATGTGGTTCTTATTTTTTGTTATGTGATTCTTCATGAACCCCAGGTGCTGGTGCAAGTGCTGCTGAAGGTGCCACAGCAGATCAGATCATGGCTGCTAATGTTGCTAAGGAATGTTTGCTGGCTGCAATTAAAGCAGATAGCAAATCAGCTCATATTTGGTCAAATCTTGCTTATGCATTTTCTATTTGTGGCGATTATCGAAGTTCCAGCAAGTGCTTGGAGAAGGTGCTCATGGCTTCTTGCTACAGTCATTTATTGCGTATTTATTGAGGTTGTTCATTGGTTTCCTGGTCCTTGTTATTGGTGAAATATTGATCTTTGATTCTCTGCAACAAATTCTTGGCTCTTTTTTATGTGCATTCTTTTTAATAATTAAGATGGCAGGAATTACTCACATTGATTTGTGTGTATTGGATTTAGGCTAATGGTACTATTGAATTCCACCCCCTCACGCCCTAGAAAATTTTGATCTTTGATACTCTGCAACAAATTTCATGGATCTTTTTTATGAGCATTCTTTTTAATAATCAAAAATAAAATGGCAGGATTTACTCATTGGTGTTGTGTGTATTGGATTTTGGCTAATGGTAGTGGCATTTTTAAAGTCAACCCCCCACCCCCAAGAAAATTGTGAAGTCATTTGTTAATTTTTCCCTCGCCTCTGTTGCCAATGCTTTGTAGGCAGCAAAACTGGAACCCAATTGCATGTCTACTCGTTATGCTGTTGCTGTCCACCGAATAAAGGAGGCAGAAAGATCTCAAGATCCTAGTGAACTGCTTTCATGTGCTGGAAATGAGATGGCTTCTATAATAAGAGATGGTGATTCATCTCTGGTTGAGCTTCCAATAGCATGGGCTGGGCTTGCCATGGTTCACAAGGCCCAGCATGAGATAACGGCAGCATATGAAAGTGAACAGCCTGGGCTGATGGAAGTTGAAGAGCGCGCTGTTTGCAGTTTAAAGCAGGTAATTTATTGCTTTGTTTTAGTTATCATTCTTAGATGACCTAGCTTTATCTTTTCTATTTGAGGTTTTATCATGCATATTGTGTTGTTTACACAGCTTTTCCAAAATGTCATAACACTTAGCGTCTTCAAATGTTTCTCTGATGGATATAGTTTCTTAAATGTTTGTGTTGAGATATCAAGTATTCCAGTCCCATGTCGGTCCGCTAGGTAACAAATCAAAGGCTATATAAGCAAAAGGGCTTTAACTTAAAAATTGTCTAAGACATTTTAGTTAAATAAGTCACTTAAGCCACAGCCCACTCACTCTCCCTCACTCTTGGATTGGACTCACATTCCAAAATCCTAATAGTTTGTTTGGCATGTCATTATTTTTTTATAAGGCTATAGCAGAAGATCCACATGATGCTGTGCAGTGGCACCAACTTGGCGTTCATAGTCTTTGTGCACGGCAATTCAAAACGTCACAGAAGTACCTCAAAGCTGCTGTTGCCTGTGACAAGGATTGCAGCTATTCATGGTCTAACCTAGGTATGCTCTCTCTCCCTCTCCCGGCTGTAATAGGAATGTACATTTTCAAATCTTCAAATTCAACATTGTATTCCTTTGGGATTGTCAACTGTAGTCTGGCACTCTAGCTCCCTCCCCTGATCCCCTTCTGATAACAGTAATATTCCCTTTTATGATTGGTTGTTTTGCATGTCCAGGTGTCTCCCTTCAACTATCAGAACAACAATCACAAGGCGAAGAAGTATACAAGCGGGCATTGTCTTTGGCAACAACTCAACAAGCGCATGCTATACTATCCAACTTGGGAATTCTCTATCGCCATCAGAAACAATATCAACGCGCGAAGGCTATGTTTACGAAGTCACTTGAATTACGGCCAGGGTATGCTCCTGCATTCAACAATCTGGGTCTTGTGTTTGTTGCCGAGGGTCTTTGGGAAGAGGCCAAGTATTGTTTTGACAAAGCCCTTCAATCAGATCCATTGCTTGATGCAGCGAAGTCTAATTTGATTAAGGTGGCTGCCATGTCAAAGTTGTGCAAAGGTCTGTCCGCATGCACTCTTAAAGAATGATGTTGTAGTCCCTGAAGGATAGATTAGTTTTTATTTTCTTCTGTTCGACAACCATTTATAATATTAAATTAAAGAGAATGCAATTGTATTACGTGCTTTAAAATGTGCAATTAAGTAAATATATTTTTCAAGCTATACAATTGTATAGGCCCCTTGCGGGGGTGCAAATTCCTGAAAAGAAATAAAAGTATAGTGAAAAACGAACGTAAAACGAACCAAAGGGACCCAATGTTCAATGTTTTTATTTTAATCTTTCACTATGTTTTGAATATTTAAATCAGTCTGATTCACTCCTTGTCATTGAAGTTGTTGCTTTAGTCGAAGTCACTATCATTTTATATAGTGTGTTTGATTTTGCATCTAATTCATTCGAACTTATTCATTTTTGCGTTACTAGTTATGATTTTTACCTTTTAACGTAATTTTACACGTTTTAAGGTGATTTTATTGAGCTTCTAAACACGTATACATTACATAATTCCATCAAAGCTGCTCCTCTCTTCCCAAATCAACATCTGACCACAGCCAAACCCCCAACGCTGTTCATATCCGTATAAATGTCCCACAATCCTCCATCCCTCATCCAAGGATTAACCATTAGCATTAGCTAAGCCAAATCTACAGGAGATTGAATCAAAATAAAAAAACAATGAAAGGGGGTAAGAGGATATGAATTCTAGAAAATCAAACCAACGTCATTGGTGAAATGCGGAAAATCAAGAGGAAGAAATGGTAAAAGAAATAGACAAGAAAAAGCGATCAATTGAAAATATAGAATGTTTTGGATTGCGACTAGACTGGGAGAGATGACGGTTGGTGCTATGGCATCGGTGATCCCCGACAACATTGTGAAGCCATGAAAGTTTGGTGATTTATTGCAATAATTACAAGTTGATAGAGTGGGTCGACAGTGGTTCTATGATGAAATGGGGGTGTCAATGGTGTGCTCTCACTGCACTGCTCTACCGCACAATCGAGGGGTGGTAAGCTTTTAGATAAGTTTTTATAAATGTTTTTACTCTCTCTTACGCTAATAGCAGTAGATGTGGGACTTTCAAGAATGTATTGAAAACGTTTGGAAATCCTCCAGCAATGTGGGACTTCATGGAATGCATAAAAAATAAAATAAAAAAGATATCAATTGTTTAGAACTAGCAATCTAATTCACATGCTTGTTTATAAAATAAATACATTTCAAAAGGCAGATTCTAATATCCTTTTAACTTTGATAATTAAGGACAAAATATCTTTTATAGAAGTTTGCATGTATTGTATATTGTTGATTGAAAAGTTTTATTTTAATCAAATGATTAAAAACGTAACACAAGAAACTTGTAATAAAAGTTAAATTTATTAAAGAATATATTAGTAATTTGATATATATTTTCTTTTTTCTTTTTCTTTGCGTCTTCTATTTTAACTCATACGATATGAATTTGTTCATTCTCTAACTTATAACGATGATTGTGTAATCAAGAACCGCCACATTCCATTTCGCTCTATAATTATAAATTCTGATTCAATCTATCGAGGGTTTGTAAATGGTAGAACTCTTTCTATAAATAAATAAATAAATATATATATATATATATATAACACTAAAAAATACTAAAAAATTAGAAAATATTGAAATTTTGAGAAAAAATTTGTCTAAAGTCCCTTCAATTAAATAGATCTCAAAAAGTTATACACGTAATTTATATAAATCAAAATCATATGCTAAAAGTTATGTTCCTTTAAAGTTTGACTATAAAGAAGAAAAATTGCAAATTTTTTTACATCAATTGTTTTTTAGGGTTTAAGGAGTGTTACTTTCTACATCAGTAAAAAATTGGGAATCAATGTAGAAAGCACTTAAGCTTCTATTACATCGTTGGCGAATATCATATATTTTTCATTTATAAACTCAACAAAGATTAAATTTCAAGTAAATATTGATAAACTCTAACGACAAACACTACATGTTTTTCATTTATAAACTCAATGAAGCCTAAGTAAATATTAACAAACAAACATTATTTTATTGACATCGTTGGAAGAGTTGATGGAGACAAAGACCTTAATGGTTGTAGTGGGAGCTCATGGTCATGGCTATTGAGACGCAGATGGTAGCAATATCGGCAAGTAAAAGTGACAGAGAGGTTGGGAGGAGAGAGATAAAGGAGGAGGAGTGATGGTGAGAGCTAGATGAGTGTTTCAATGTATTTATCGATTTACCCTTTATCATTCACAAAATCACAAAAGAAGTTTATATGAAAATCATTAAAATCCATAATAATCTATATTTTACTTATTTAAAATTACTACTTTCCTAATTTCCTTACTTATTAACGTTAAAAGTCACATTAGAATTCCCTCATTTAAACCTTATGCATGTTCTCTCTCAAGTTGGAAGGAGAGGAAGGAGTAGCTATCGCCAAACAACTTCTTTTCTCCTTAAGGGAGGTCTTCTCCTTTTAATGGGTGTAAATTATAAAACTAAATCTATTTATAATAATAGTAAAGTTAGTTAGCCTAGTGTAAAATTAGCCAATCCAATTAATTTCTATTAATTTTGTTATCTCATTATTCTGCTTTGTCATTGTGTATTTATTCAGGTTATATTCATAATGCAAACTTAGTTTTCCTCTTCAATATCTCTTCTTTTCTTTTAAACTCTTCTTTTTTGATCTGTCTATTACCTTACATGGTATTAGTTTAGCTACCTGATCCTTATGGCTTCCACTTCACAAAGTTTTGTGCCTCAAACATTCTTTACTTCAATATCTTGCAAACTAAATGAAGATAACTTCCTTACATAGATGCAAAATGCTGAGGCTACCATTAAAGGTTTGAAGCTCAAGGAAGATATTCTTGTGTGCTTATATGATTCTAGAAAAATATCTCTCCAAAGAAGATGAAACCAAGAATGTTTTCAATTTTGAGTTCGACAATTTTGAACAACAAGACAATTTATTCAAATCTTGGGTATTGGAATCAATGGATACACAATTCAAAGTGTGTGTCATTAGATGTGAATGGTCCCATCAAATTTGGAACATCCTAAAGACCTACTTTGCATCACAAACAAAAGCACGCATGAAGCAATTATGAATTTAGCTTTGAATTGTCAAAAAAATGGGGTCTATTCATAGGTATCTCGTTCAAGTAAAACAAATAATTAAAACTCTAGCTGTTGGTTCTCTGATCACTACAGAAGAACATATAGATGCCCTCTTTGATGGTCTATCAAAGGATTAAGATAGCTTCATTACCTCTTGCCTCACAAGATTGGAATCTTTTTCAGTTTCTTAGATTGAAGCGTTTATCATGCATCAAGATCAGCTAGAGAGATATAAACAATGTGATCAAACACCTATGAAGGGCCCAAAATCAATCTCAATTCAAGAAAGGTTTCAACAATCAATCTAAGGGCAAAGGTCAAGGTCATGGTTCAATTTGCTGCAAAGGACGTGGTGGAGGCTGATTAAGTTCAACAAATAACTTAGGACATGGCTCCAAGATTCAGTGTCAAGTATGTGGGAAGTTTTGTGATCAAGTCCAAGAACTCAACCTTTCAAGCAATTCTACTAAATCATTAAGTTCTGAATCTGGTGTCTATGCTATGCTTTCTACTGCAAATTCATCCTCTAACCTTGATGATGTATTCAGACATAAGGCCTACCAATCATCTAACACCTGACCTCAACAATCTCATGATAAAGTTTGACTACACTTGACTCTAATAAAAAATCAAACTTGGGAATTAATACCTCTACCTTCAAACAGAAAAGCCATAGAATGCAAATGGATATTTTGAATAAAGAGAAATCTAGATGGTTCATTTACCAAGCATAAAGCTTGTCTTGTGGCTAAAGGTTTTAATCAACAAGAAGGATTGGATTACACCGATAACTATTCAAATTGTCCTAAGCATTGCAGTCACTCAAGGTTGGTCAATAAAGCAAATAGACATTAATAATGTCTCCCTAAATGGGTTTTTAACTAAGGAAGTTTATATAAGGCAATCTGAAGGGTTTCAGTCTAAAGATCCTAATCTAGTATGCAGTTTGTGTAGAGCTCTATATGGACTTAAACAAGCTCCTAGAGCTTGGTTTGAAAAATTGGCATCAACTCTCAAATTTTTTAGTTTCATCTAGCAAAATGTTATAGTTTTTTGTTCATTTAGCATCATTTGTCTTATATCACTTACATTTTAATATATGTCAATGATATCCTTATAACAGGAAACTCACCCACTCTTGTTCAGATTTTTATCAACAAGTTCAATTCTTTGTTTCCTCTAAAAGATTTAGGTCCTCTCTATTATTTTCTTGGGATAGAGGCTAAACATACAATAACTGGATGTATTTTGCTAACTCAGTCCAAATACCTATCCAATTTATCAATAAGGTTAATATGCATAATGCTAAAGCCATTAAGACTCCTCTTGCATCAGGGACTAAACTAGTTGCTAATAGGACCAATGCACTCTTGGATCCCTCATTATACAAGTCAGTCATTGGAGCATTGTAGTATGCAATAATCACTCGACTATATGTGACATTTGCTGTCAACAAACTATGCCAATTCATGCACTATCTTGAGTCTCACTGAAAAGCTACAAAGAGGGTAATAAGATACCTAAATGGAACTATTGATCATGGAATTCTATTTTAACCATCAACCAATCTTGATATTACAGGTTTTTGTGATTCAAATTGGAAATCCAACCCATTTGATATGTGATCACCTCAAGGTTCTGTTTATTCTTAGGCAAGAATATAGTCTGATGGGTTGCTAAAAAATAATATGTTGTGTTCAAATCAAGCACTGAAGCAAAGTTCCGAAGCATGGCTGCACTTGTCGCAAAAATTTTGTGGTTACAATCTCTTCTTTGTGAGCTTAGAATTCCACCCTCTAAACCTCCCCTAATCTGGTGTAACAACCAAAGTGCAGTTCTGTTAACAACCAAACCAATTGTACACTTTAAGTCAAAACATTTTGAGTTGGACCTATGGTTTGTTAGAGAGAAAGCTTCTCAGGAGCATATTGTGGTCAAGTACATACTTTCACAATTTCAAGTTGCAGACTTATTAACTAAGTCTCCATCATGTGATGTCTTCCTTAATCTTATATCAAAACTAAGTGTTTTGCCTCTCTCCACACTTAATTTGAGGGGTTGTAAATAAGGATAGAAATAGGCTAGTGTAACATCCTAAAATTTTAGTCTTAAATTGCTTGTTCTATTTGTACAAACTTGGTATAAAATATAAACTTTTTTGTATATGACAAGCATTGCAATTACGGGTAAAT